GTGATAATAACAATAATATCGCATACAATTTTCTTCCGCAGGTGATTTGACAACAACGTTGCCGAGTGTGGTGGTTGCTCAACACCAGGACAAAGTGATATCTGGCCGGTGGCACCCTACAGACTTTTCGTTTTTGAGTACCAGTGCCGATAAGACAACCACCCTGTGGGCTTTACCACCATATAAATAATACAAATAACCAACGAAACAGATTATAATTTAATAATACACGTTAAGGCTTTGTATTACAAAAAATCAGAAAGATTTTTAAACAAAATTAAAAAAGAGAAACAGTGATTTTTGCTAACTTACGTGCTAACAATTTAATAATTAACCTATAGTGTTTATTTTGAAATTTACGAGCTGTTTTTGTTTTTTATTTTTATTTATTATATACACATAATTTGTTCTGTATTTTTTTGTTACTCTTTTCTAATTCTACCAGCTGTTTTTTGTTAATGATAATTTTTTTTTATTTTTTAATAATAAAAATATGTGCCTAAACTCGTGTGATTACTGTTCCCTATTCTCTCTGATAATTACTTGATGATTCTAAAATCCATCACCTAGAGCAGTGGTTTTCCAACTGGGTGCCCGGGGCACACTGGTGTGCCACGAGTATCCACTAAGTATGCCTCGGTTTTTCTATAAATCGTCGATTGCATTGAATTGATCATCTAAAAAAAAGGTCAGTGTGCCATGAAATTTTTTTTTAAGTGTATGGTGTGCCGTGTATAGTAAAAGTTTGAATTCCACTGACCTATAGTATCATTCATTCGATGAATGGCTATCTAAAAAACATACATACTTAATTATAGGTATATTATTAGGTATATTAAATACATATTGTATAAGATGAGTCGCCTGTAATCAGTTAATTAATAAATAAATAAATTAATTAATTAATTAATCTTTTTAAAGGTCTAATTTAAATCGTCAATATTTTAAAACCTAAACTTATAAAAATGTAGTAAACAATATATCGTATAATATGAAGTATGATATAGGTACTTAAATAACTATTAGAAACACAACGGGATTAAATAAAATTAATAATCGAGAAATATACTCTTTAAATATCACATACCTAGTCATTTATATTTCCGTATTATATTATCACTAGGGCTGGGGATTTTGATGCACTTTGCATTGTTTTTCAAAGCTTACTGTGCAATGCTCGTCTTGGCACAAATTTGTTTTATGTACATTTGAATGAGATAAAGAAAGTTTATTTTGCATTTTTTGGCATTTTTTTAGTTTTCAAGTCATTTTCTTCATTTTTTAGGGCATTTTAGAGTTTTTGGAGCATTTTTTTGAGTTTTTGGAAACCAAGTGGATGAATTTGAAATTTTATTTTAAGATTTTAAGATTTTTACACTAACATGGTTTTTAAATGAAAATAACAGATTATAAGTAGGTACTCGTAATTTGTATTATATTATCGGACAATCAACTTTTTTTTTAGATTTATACTAAAACTATGTATTTACAGCTTACACTTGAAATAGATTTTTATAATGTATTTTTTAAAACTTTTTATTGTAATTTATACTAAAATTATTAAAAATAAAAAAATTTGTAGATCATAAAAGCATTTCTTTTAGGGCATTATTTAGAGTTTTAGGTCATAAAAGCATTTTTTTAGGACATTTTTCGAGTTTTTTTAGGGCATTAAAATCCCAGCCCTAATTATCACCATACTAAACCATTTATTTGAAAGCATATTATTATAGTGTACAAATGGCTGACGACTTGATGCCCATACAAACCACCGTCGAAGTCAATCTGCTGTAGGTATATAGTTAATTTCGAGTTAACATACCTCTTCGTTGAGTATGGCACTGTAATAGTGTAACGAACGTGTTAAATTTGAATTCAATGATACGTAAAATCAATGTAATACGAAAAACGGTTCCGGGCGGCGATGGTATGTAAGCCTCTATTTCCAAGGATAATTTATAACTCATTTAAATCAAGTATAGGGATACTATTAATTATTATACACATTTATTTTTGTATTGAGAGTACCGTATGTTAAACTAATTTTTGCCAAAATTATTGCACATATTATGTTTTACTAGCTTACCCCATACACTTCGGTCCCGTAAATATTAGATACATCAAACTTTGTTCAATTCGTTATTTAATATTCGGTGTCACGGTGTTCAAAATTAAAAAGTAGAAAAAAATGGATTTTAAATCAGAGAATAAATAATAAGTAACTTTTTCTTACGGTAATCAATTATTAGCAGAAATCAACAAATAATATGTGGTTATGTTACATTAAAAATATATTAACACAACCAAATATCAAATACTGGTTAAAAGTATATCAGTCATAGTAATAATAATATTTTTTATGTAACCAGTAAAAACCAAAAATCGCAAAAAAATATCGATTTTCTATCGTAAATCACAAACTCCTTGTGGATTAACCTTCATACTTTTGAATTCAGAATGCCAGACTGATGGACCTTAATTATTATTATTTATATTTGGATAATAGTGGCACATCCAAGTCATTCAACATCTTTTTTTTCAATAATAATTTAAAGGATCTATTTTACTATTTCCTAAAGAACTCATTAATATTACCCCCTTTCTTATAATGTTTCTAAAATTAAAGCCTAAAATATCGTTCATTTAAAGAGTATAATTACCTACCTTTCTTAAATATTTAATTTATAACTATAATAATACAATGAATAGGTACCTGCAAACAGTATAACCATTGATTTTCTATTAGAAAATCAATGCTACAACCTACATCATAAATGTATTGTTCTATAAAAAAGAATTTTCAACTTTTATATGTAAAACATATTATAAACAAGTTAGGAAAGCTCGTTCTGTGAGTGTGCTAAATTTCGGGTTTCTAAATGTATTTTAAAATAACACAATAAATTATACAATTTAAAAATAGTTATTTGGTAACATTCATATTTTGGTAAGTATCTATTATTTATTATTGACTACTATGAATCCACATTAAATACTCATATTTTGAAATTTTTTAATATTTGTAGTATGAATTTACTTTGAATAGAACCACGGTTATAACATCTTAGAACAAATAATCGTGATTATTTACTAGTAACTAATAGACGGGGATATAAAGTGTTCTAAGCTCAAGCTTAGGAATCTAAAAAATTCCTAGGTGATTAATAAATAATAATATTATATTTTTTGTTATTACATACTATAATACTTGATACGCAAAAAATTATTATAAACATTTTGGAATAAAGTAATTAAAAATGGACTGATATACATACTCATTAAATATTATAATTTCCAGATTTATTTCCCTTTTATAATATTTTGCCATTTTTCTAGATTCTCATACCATCACCTGATTCCACTGACGTCGCTTGAGCAATGAACATGGAAAAAAAATACTCAACACCCGGAGTTAGGTAAGCTAAATATGTGTATGGACCAGAGTTTAAGGTTCTGACTGTCTACATGCGTATTGTGTTGATATGAGCCACAAAGCATAATCTTAGTTTATTGATATTCAATGTAAAGAGTATTTATAACATTGTAAATCATGATAAAGATAAAGCTCATAAAGTTCTGTAACTTGAGCTGCAGATGCGACTACTTCCGAGCATCAACAATACTAACCATTTCGTATTCGAGAAGAAGCACTATAGAAACTTAATATATTCTCCGTTGTACGGTAAACATTGAATTGTAAATATTTTTGGGGGTCTGTTGTCAATGTAACAAATATGGCGACAGCAAAAATTATAATACGTCAAAAAATATGGTTTCTTGTGTAACGCTCAATTGGTTAGCATAACACAATTTATTAATTTGTTAATGTTTGGTTGCAATAGCAACTGAAAACCGATATTTTACAAAATTTTAACTTAAATTGAACTTGAAATCGTTAAATCTAAGAAGATATTGAATAACAATTAATCAATAAAATCTCATAACTATTTATTAATATAGTAGGCTGTATAGTTATTATTTGGTTTCCAGGGCAACTAAATGGTGAAAAGAAATGTAGTGATGTATCCAGCCAAAAAAAAAAAATATTATGCGTAGGTATCTGTAAAAATATTTCTTATAAATTGACAATTATAATGTTTAGGAGTTTAATGTAATGTATAATTAATATATTTTAATATACATTATACACACTACGAAGAAAGAGTAACACATTCAAAAGTTAAAACAAAATGATTTATTTGTATTATAAAAAAATTATAATTTCAAAACAATATTGTAAAAAAAAATTCATATTTGATTTTGATTGAAACTGGAACTTTACAATCTAAACTTAGAATAGTTATCTATATAATTATAAATACAAAGCTTAGTGTTAGGTTTTGGTACAAATACAATAATAATAATCATAATGATAGAAAAACACGTTGAATGTCGTCATTATTCTATTATTTTATAAAATATTATGACGTATAAAATAATACTAAAATAATAAGTAAAACTACTATTTAATTCAGACGTACGTGTTTAAGTCTTTATTATTTATATTTGGGTGATTAAGGCACGTTCAACATCACATTAACATAACATATTATTTATATATTTTTTTAAATTAGAATTTATTTTTAATAGACAAATTTAATGCCGGCATTTCTATAATGCCGTTAATGACACCCTGTAAAATCAGTTCTGTAATACGCCTAACAAAAATTATGATTATTAAAATTACATTTATGAGTAAAATCATTCAAACTTACTTCAATACTTTTAAACAGGCTACATTTAAAAAAAAGAAAAATTCACAAATAAAAATAGTATTTTTTTTTCCAATACTCACTACAATATTATACTAATAAGTACATGCTTAATATGCGATATATCTTAATATAATAATCGAGTGCAGGTCTGCTTGTTAAAATATATTGTACTATATGTGAAAAAAAATTTTTTGCCATTAATCGGTTGAATTGATAAAAAATAAATAAATAAATAGATTATTATAAATAGATAGGTACTACATAGATATATTACTATCATATGACAGTTTAATATATACGAAACTAAAAAAGAAATGCACAACAAACATTCATATACCTTAAATGAAAAATTTTTATACATAAACTGTTAAGTTTTTCGATGAAACTCCGAAGTTAAACTGATGGAATTACAGATTTGACCATTTCGGTAAAGTGCTCAAATAGATCATCATCTTTATTCAAACAAAGTTTAAATGAATACCTACCGAAATACCTTCCTTGTCCGAATTCTTTTAAAAAAAAACAACAGTTTATATTTAAAACAATTTACGTTTAAGTTTTAAATAGTCTAAATATGCTACTAATTACAGTTCATATTATATATAATTAAACATACATGCATGCAAATTACGTTAAATTTTTTAAAACTGTTTGAAAATCAGAACACCCATTAAGTTTTGTGTTAAATTTGAGCAACAATTATGATATAATAATAATAATAATAATAATAATAATAATAATAATTTGAAATGTTAAGTAAAACACACATTGTTTATTCTCTGAGGATAGATTCAAGTAAGAAAGTCGAAGGAGATCTATTTTTGAGTATACATATATATCTATATATGTATACATATTATAATATGTTATGTTATACGTATAAATATATAGAAATATATCTAATAGAAAAATAATAATAATAATAATAATAATATTAGGCGCCGTGGTCTAGATTATCTCTCAACACAAAATATAACTATTACAGCACATAGACCGTATCGGACCGAAAACAATTCTCATAGTCCGATCCGCTCGTACCGATTACAATAATTATTGAAATGAATAATAATAATAATAATAATAATATAATAACAATAAATATTTATCTTAAATAAACCTTAAACAAAAAGGTACGTGTATCTACGTGTAAATATATAATAACTAGACTATATCATCATCATCATCATCATGAATAATAATAATATTATAGAATCAAAATCGTTTTTTGTTAAAGATAAAAAACTAGAATAAAAATAATAACAACGGAGTTTCTCGCAGAGCGTCCGCGAGAATAGGCGAAGACGAAAAAAAAATGATGTGGATTGATCCGGTAACTATTGATTTCCTTTGGGAATACGATTAAAAAACCTATAATAACATTATATTATATGATAATGTCATCTCGTCGACGACAAAAACGTTAAAGGTCGACTTGTGACATAATAATAATAATAATAATAATAATATGACATAATATTAATATTGTTTGCACATAATATATAATTATTATAATAATATAGTAAGTGTCTGTCTGTCTGTCTGTCTGTCTGTCTGTCTGTCTGCGTAGACTGGTCGGCGGCGGTACAGGCACCAAAAATGTAATATATATATATACATGATATAGTCATTGGCGCCTACAGTTTGACCGATAGCCGCGTGGCGGTCGGGTCCGACGCGGCGGCAGCCTTTGCGGACTTGGACGTCGAGCCCTTGCCACCGCTGCTGCTGCTGCCGCCGCTGCTGTTGTTGTTGTTGTTGGCCGCAGCCGGAGACGACAGCGTGTCCGAGGCGACGCTGCCCGAGTGGCTGTTCCGGCTGTACCAGTCAGCCACTATGCCGCTCTCGGTCGACTGGCTGGAACACTGACTGGTCTGCCTGGCGCCCTCGCTACTCCGACAGCTGGCGCCGCTGCTGCTGCTGCCACTGCTGCTGTTACTGCTGCCCGCGCTGCTGCTGCTGACCGATATGATCGAGTGCGGCCGCTTGGCGATCGACTCTAGGTCCGAGGGCAAAGCCACTATCGAGTTCCGGAACCTTGGGGCAGCTGGAAAAAGAAAAGGCCGATGTTTAGCGTCATTGTTGGCGGCCACAGTGGTTTCGTCCCCAAACGTGAAGAGACATGGTAGGAAATCGATAATTTGATGGTACGAAGGTCGAATAAGATGGTTGAAAAAAATCAACAGATTTCGAAACCGTGAAATTGGGAGTGCTAAAATATGGATCGTTTTTCCCTCCATGAAATCCAAGTAAGTATTATACTGCCCATAGGTAATGTACTTGTAAAGCTATGTACACTTTTATTTGTCGCTGAATTTTTGGAGCGCACTACAGGTCGTAAAATAGTTGTATTTATAATTTGATAAAAAAAAAAAGGAGGGGCGTAGACGAGGGCGTCCAAAAAACTATTTGATTCCAAACGATTCGTATTCAGAAGAAAACCCAGTTCGGTGTATAGCCGATATGTATATTAATCATCTACAGACCGGGTTACAGTAGTTATAAGTATACTAAACAGTCGAACTCACTTTTACTGAGCTGCGCGAACGTGATGGATCGATCGTTTATTTGATCCGCACTCGGCCGGATGTCCAAACAGGGTTTGTTGCCAATTCCCATAGAAGACATTTCCGCCAGCCTAACCTCTGCAATGAATAACAATGTGAGTACATAATATTATTATATTATTGACCGATATCGGTGCGGGCGGTACGCGACAGTAATTTGTCATCATTATATTGTACGCACGAAATGTAGGTAGGTACAATATAAAACCGACCGTACCTATAACAATCGTTTTCGGATAAAAAGCGTTAAGTATGACACTCTTATTACTATATAGCTGTAGTTCCGGTACGTACCTCTGTTTCGCAGCGCCTGTTTCCACAGCAAATTGGACAACTCGTCGGTCCACGACTGTTTGATGTCCTCTGACATGGACACCAACGTGTAAGTATCGCCCGGCTTGCGTTTCCGGAACCATATTTCGAATTTGGTGTTGCTGTCGCCGACTTTGGCGGTGAACCCGATGTCACTAGTTTTTATACTGTTCTTGTACACGTACAAGTCCAGATTCTGTAACAGAAAAAAAAAACATGTATGAAATAACCGTTCGATTATTATATAAGGCGACGGGTCAGTTATAACCAGGGAATGACCCACACAGAATATCGGGTAACAACGGTAACGTATGATCCGTAACCGGAATCCGATGAGCTATGCCAACCGCGATCTCGTGTACTCACCGTTTGGTCGGGGAATCGTCTGGCCTTGCTGAACAGTATGAGCTCCTCGAACAGGAACACCTGTCGCAGGCACTTCTTGCCTTTGCCCTGCCACACGAGGAACTCGTTCTGCCGCAAAAGTCGGCCCTGCTCCTTCAGGTTGACGTCGCACTCCCGGAGCGAGTCCATGGCCAGCAGATCGTTGCCGTGTCGCAACTGGAACCTGACCATGCTCTCGGCCAGCCGGAGGTGTTCCGTGTCACCTTTGGCCATCTTCATGAGCTGCTGCAAGAGCAGCGCATACTTGCCCATCCTCTGCACGGGCTTCAGCAAGTAACTGGCCAAGTCCATTCGGTCGCGAAGTTCGATTTGTTTTGCCTGAAACGCCATATTGGCCAAATGAGTATACGAAAATGATATAACAAGAGATATACGCATTATTTGTCAAATGTAAAATGACGGAAAAACGGTGAAATAAAAACATCACACCAACCTTAAAGAATGCAGAACCATACTCGGACATCAGCGAATCCGAATTCGGTTTGTTCTTGTTGTACAGCGCGTACAAGTAAAATTTTTTTTCCTGTATCAAAAAAAAAAAAAAAAAACACGACGCGATTACGCGATTAATATCAACAACAATCGTAATATCATCACATCGATGTACGTTCGGTCGAAACAGTGCAACAGCGATAGGTTTCGTAATATTCCCGTAATATTATTTCTGTGAGTTGCATAGGTATATCGTGTACTTACGTGTTTTAGGAAAGATTCTCCCACTTGCAAGGGACAGTTCTCGTGTCTCTCCAGCTCCTTGAGGAAGTGTTGGCTGTGAAACTCGTAGATCTTCTCGATGTTGCCGAAAATGACGTTGCGCTGGCCTCGCAGGGCTTGGGGTATGTCTTCGTTCAGTAACATCGGCACGTAGTTCTCTATGACGTATTCCAGTGACTTGACGTAATCCCTTTCGGTCTGTATCATTTCTCTCATGATCAGCTTGACGGTCCTGCGAAAACCAACACACGTACAGTTACCGATTTGTTTCATTTGGTTTACTCGAGTGCTATTCTAATAATATATTTTAAACGCGGTACTCACTTTTGTAACTTTAGCGTCTGCGTGCCGCAATCCATGTTCAACTGTAGGTTGGACATATAGTGCAGATGACTGTTGACGGACAAAGGTGGCAGACTTTGATTTTTGCTGCAACCGAGATCGGCACAATTAGTGTCGTCACTCTCTTCATTACTGTAAAGAAGGAAAAAATGAAGTATTTAAAAATGCTTTCGAGTTCCAATTAAAATTGTATAGTCCTATTAGTTTGGTTTAAAAAAAAATGTTGTTTTATTTTTAATAGTTTAACCGAGTGCCGTCTGTTATCTATGTAACGATAGATAGTACGACTCGTTACAAGTGAAATTAAATAGGTACTCAAATTTGTTTATTAAATATTTCTCAGAAAGAAGTACTACGCTTTGCCACTATCTCATAGAATGTGTCACGGATCCACCGATACAACAATATTTAGAATTCCTCTTTAAATTGTATTATTTTAATTCCATGTGGTATGCATATTGCATAATATAAATATATAATGCATATAAAATATGAATATTTTACTCTATATAGTCTATTGACTATAGTCAATATTTATACTAATTTATATTTATTTTAGTCTTTGGGACTTAATAAGCTCTAAAAACTGAATAATACCTAAAAAATGCTCCAATAAGCCAAAATCTTAAAATGCGTAGAAAATATACATAACACAATTTTAGATTTAGACTCTTATAATATCTCAAGTACTTTTATTTGGGCCCTGTTATTTGTTAAGCAATCCAAAATAAAAAACTCATATTCTAGAAGTCCTTGAGCCTTTTCAAAATTCAGTTTAAACCATTAATCCGGAAAAAAATTATGGTCTCACAGTTAAAAGTGATAACTGATTAGATATTATTGAATTTGTGTCAACCGTTTTTTTTTTCGATAAACATGAATTAAAAATAACTATACCTCTTATTTTCATCGCTCCCTTCAGTCGTGTGTGAGCAGCTCAGTTTTTCCTCGTCTTCTTCATCATTGTAAGTCCAATTGGCTGACGGGATATGGCTGAGCGCGAGCCGGTCTGTCTCGCAATAAAAGTTCTCTTCCGTAGCGCCTACCCAGCCACAATGATGGTTATCCGCTGTTGCGTTACCATTTGTTGTATGGTGCTCCGGTGCGGACGTCCTTCTGGGTGGCAGGGGAGTGCTGGTCGGGAATGTTTCCGGTCCCAACAGGTGCTTCAGTTGGTCGTTGGTCTCTTCGCATCTTACCATGGCCACCTGTTTTCAAAAATAAAAACCATAGCATTACAAAACACTGTTTGTCAGAGTACGTCCAAAAAACAATGGCACGATCGTCATTACCTTGCACTGTTTGATTAATTTATCATTGTTAAGCTTGTTGGCCAACATCATCATCTCCGAGAAGTGTTGAGCAGTAGGAGATGGATGTGCCATTAAGTATCTTCGTAGTTCTTTAATGTTACGTGTGTCGTGCTTTTCGGATATGTACTTCATACATTCCAAAGCCCAATCGTAAGCCTGAGAAAATAATATTAATACTTAATATTTTCGTTTTAAATGTTATATGTTTGGTTATTTATAAAATGATATATTTACAATCTACATAAACATAACATAATAAGTAAGTCTGATGACAAATTTGGCAATGGAATTTAAAATTAGTATAGGGAGGCTCTCAGCGTTGCCACCAGACAAGTTTATGTTAATAGTATTATGCTTTTAGCAAGTCTATAAGAGGCGATTACCTTTTTAACCTGCATATGAGAGTGGCAAAGAATAATTCTAGATTAATTAAATGATTGGAATGCAAGTGGAGCTTTGAATGGAATTTGACGAAATGAGATTTGGCCAGGTCGGTGAGGGTTTTGGGTTGTGGATTCAAGTCTTTGTGGAGATTTTCATTTATTTCATTACAAGGGTCAGAGGTTATTAAATGTAGGTAATATAATATATATGTTATAAATAATCATACAAATTATTTGAAACGCAATTCACGTAGCTAATCCTTTTAATTTTTACAGTCAATATATACACCGCAGCTGATTCCGTAATTACGATTTTGACTATTTTATATATTATGTGTTATTACCTACACAATAAATGATATATATTGTAACTTTCCTAGATCTTTTTTCTATCTCAGTTTCAATAACAAATAGGTTATGTTCATAAATCATAACCCGTTCAAATATTGTATTATAATTATACCTCAATACTTATATTATTTTTAAAAAACTCATATAATTCCAAATTAAATCCATGCGATTATATTATTATAACCTATTTACCTTATCGAGTAAGTAAAAACAGCGTGATGTGTCTTCGAGTCTTTCACGAGTCTCTTCAAGTCGATCACTAAAACCTCTCAGATGCTGCTTTAAAGATTTAGCCAGATCTTTTAGACTGGTACCATTGCTGCATTGGCCTGCTTCTTCCAACAAATCTCCAGCTTTGTCGAGATTTTGCTGTAAACATGAAATAAAAAAATTAAGACTGAATACACAGCTGAAATTATATATATATATATATATGGGACAGGTACATTTTTGTTTTTCAACTTATTAGCAATGTGATGTATTATAATTAGATGCAGTAAAAATAGTTATGCCCAAGCAGTTTATTATTTAATCAATAAATTAGTAGTTTATGCTATTACTATAATATAAAATAGTATTTTGAAGAATATCATAGATAGTGCGAGACCAATTTGTACATAAAATATATCCAATAATTAGCCACTTAATTTAAAGCTTTCGTTTCAGCAAAGAAACACATAAAAATAAAATATAATTATCTGCTCACATATAGGTACATTGGGGTATTATAAATTACTTCAAGGTTGAATCATATAAATTTGTAATAATGTTTAAGAAATGACGAAAAATAATTTGTATGTATTATTAAAAAATGAAATTCGATAGTAAAAAGTAATAATAAATGAAAAAAAATCAAATAAAAAATATAAAATGTATCTTCATATTATAATTATATGACGTAAACACACACAATGTTTTAATAACATACACGTCACACATATCGGTGGTAACACTAAATACATTTTTGAGAGTATATTTACAAAATTGTTTTTATTGTTTGTTGTTAAAACATAAATATGATGAAATTCCTTCAACAAGGCTATACATTTTGCACGAAAATACGTCTTGTGAAAATCTACAAAGCCAGAAAATTCAACAATCGCCTTTCGCAATAATAATTATAATACTTGGTTAAATGAACAATAGACTAAATAGAAATCTTATATTATGGTATGGATACCATGATAGTTAGTTTATTTAAAACCCAAGTTATTAAATTGAAAAAAAAATGACTGACAGCATTTTATATATTATTATGTTCTTGTACATTAACGGTTGAGTCTCGTAACTCGAGTCTCAAGGGAAATAAAAATAAATTCGATTTATGTATTTTTCAAGTATATATAGGCGCCTCAGGCATAACTCAAAAACATTTCAAAAGGCAAGAAAAAAATTATTCGCGTTATTGAGGATTTTGAGTCATCGATATTCATATAATCAAGATTCGACTGTTTACATTTAGATATACATATATTAATACTACTCAGATAATCACACATAAGTCATCAATATCAGACCTACAGTATACGAGTCAAATGGCCAGCGGTACTGTAATGAGGATTTCCACTGAAGACAATTCAGTGTTATTTATAGTTTTCAATCTCTTAGAAGTGTACTGCAAAAACGGAATCATAAAAAAGTGAATTTTTGGAATTTGCAAGTTTATCGATTCGAAGCTATGGCAAAAATTGACTTTAATGCTAACTTGACACTAATCCTCCCCACACTTTTTTTCAAATTATATCAGATCGAGTACCAGACAGCTAACTTAAAATCACTTATAGAACATTACTTTTATAGCTATTATTTATCCGATGCAGTAATTTAGACATCGTGAGGGTGCTAACTCCACACAAATAGGTGTCTCCCGGTGTTGCCCCCCCGGGTAAGAATATCCTGGGGGTTAGATTTGCCTATTAACTTAACTTACGTAACATAGATTAAACCGTTTTTGAATTGTTAGTATATTAGTAAATAAATGTGTTAAACATTAAATACAGTTTGTTTTAAAACTAATATCTTAGTGCGTATGACAATGACGAAAACAAAAATTCTTGTTTTATATACAGCCGGTACAGGTACACACAAAGGATCGATTAATCAATTCTATTTTGCAAACTGCGCACATTTAAGTGCAGTGCTCCAAAAACAGCGTTACTCAGCAAAACATTATACACTACGGTTTAGTTGGAAATTATTCGTGTTGTGGTGGGTGACCCCAGGCCCGGTTATATATCATGTCGAAAAGTTTTCGAATTACGTTATTTAGAAACTTACACATCTTGTAACTTTAATTTAAATATTCTAGTCGGAAACTGAAGAAAAAAAGTATCTTTAATTAAGGTACACAATGCGGTAAAAGCACAGTGTACGTATAACGCTTCAGTATTTCAGTATATACCTATGTATGATATTTTCGTATCATTTATGAGTGAGCAGTAATGGCAGACATACACGAGAAAAAATCAAACAATATTCGTATGTAGATTTGGGTCGTGTGAAAATATTAATACAACACCTTATTGAAATAAATTATTTACCCTGTGAATAATGCAGAGACTAATCATAGTTTAACAGCGATGAATTTTGCTTAGGACTGCAGTTGTAGACCAGTTCGACATTTCGCAAACGCGCATATTTTATAATATTTAATTGCCGTGTGTACCTTCCAATTCGTTTTTGAGATTTTACAGATCTAAATGTACCTACGTACTTGCAATGGCTTACATAGGCAACGAGTGTTCATGAATACGTTTAATGAGATTCGTATTGTTCTAGAGCCTACACTCACCTATATAGGTAAGTATACTCAGTGATTAAAATGCACGGATGGCCCATATTGGCGAAGAATTGTAAAGTCGAGTTAACTTAATTCTATATTTTAAATCTGATGGAATGAGCAGCAGCCGTTTTTATTAAAACACATTTTTTTTGTTTCAATTTAAAATGTAACCGAAGCCTGTAAACGATTGGCATATGCGAATTGCGTCGGCCGAAAATATCTCGTTGGGTGTTTGCGTGAGAGGAAACCTACTATAGGTAGGTACTAACCCGCTGAGCCTGATTCTTCGATTTTAATACTATTGGGTGGAGGTGAGGCTAGGTCGAACCCGGGTTGGTTAAACAGTTTATAAAAAAAGGTTAATTATTATTTATGTGGGCTCAGAATCTGCAAAAATTGCTATTTTAAAGTATCAAATTTTTCAGAAGAATATCGTTCTAAACAAAACTTGAGGCAAAAAAGATAGTATAAAAAATGTCAATGAAGGACCAAAAAGTTCTACCTTGTATAATTATTATAAATATAATCTAGAATCTTAATCCATCAATCTAATATTGTACTGTGTCATATTATTATTGTATTGTTGATACAGTGAATGTGAGAGAAAGGTAGAACTTTTTGGATATCATTAATTATTTTTATTTCATGTAAACAAAACTTATTTAGTTCAGTATAAATAAAATGACACATTTCTACGTGTTGATTTAGAACCTTTCAGTTCTCGTCACATCTTTTAAGTTTAAACAATGTGTATTAATCCAACAAATTGAAATCAATAAAAAAAAACATCACAACAATTATGTATTTGAATAATAGGATAGTTGTTGTACACTTTTTTTTTAATATTCTAATTTAAACCCGATGGCTTACGAGACCGTAATATAATCTTGTTAGCCGTGCGAGTTTCGTAATCGCTTAACGGATAGTGAAAGCAGAAAGGCGTGCGAATAAATGGATCTTCCGCGATTGTCATTTATAGTTGCATTGTAATGCATACGCGTATCAACCGGTATAATTACTAATTGCAGGCATGTTTAAATTATAATATTGGTTCGAAGCTAACAAATACTAATAATAGTAACAATAACAAAAAAAAAAAAAAAAAAAAGTGATTAAGAAATTTTTTTTCCTTTCGGCATTAGATTATGATGTCGATTAGAATGTATGGGTTAACGACCGCCTCTTTTTCGATATGAATGAATGAACGTAAGTGCGGTGATCCCGTGTAAAGGGTTCACGTGAATGTGTAATAATATATACGGATAGACGTCGAGACATAATACCATCAAGTTATGCACACACATTGTAGGCATACATATCATAATAAAGCCGCTGTATAGTCCGACTATACGCGTCGTTTCAACGTGTGTTTTTCGATAAAAGCGATAGATAGCGCGATGGTGTAGGTGTGAGGTATTACGATCATTATTGTCATAAGAATATAATATATAAATCGTAACGATTACAATATTTAAATTGAACACTCGAGACTGGTAAAACGCAAGGCTCGAGCGTACGCGTAAATCCGATATACGCGCGTGCCGACCGCGGCACAAAATCGTTCCGACGACACACGATACTATTATAATAACAATATTATTATACTATTATACAAACCTCTCATATTATTATCATATCGTTTCGTTGAGATATCGTACACATGTGTAACACAATGTAATAATAATAATAATAAGTAGGTATAATAATATATAGTGTAATGTCATACCGGTTGGTACCATTTCCATATTATTATACGCATATAATACATATATTATAGTGTATACATATACGCACGCCAGTCGATTAATAAAAAGTACGGACAGTGTTTCAAAACACACATTCGGACATTATAATATTACGATTTTATTATTATTATTTTTATTATTATCATACGCAGGTATGCTGCAGCAGCATCGGCTTTAGGCGTTATTAAGGTCAACGCGAGCTCACTCACACGCGTCTTATTATTATACATTATATTGCATTCGTGTTGCCGCATTACTATAATGGTAAATATAGGTGGGTAGATATACCTACTCTGGTTACTGGATACATAGGTATGGTAACAAAATAGTTCGGGGGGGGGGGGGCGGACGGAGACTGGACCGGACAAATCCAGATGCGGTCACGAGAGCGCTGTAAACAACTCCGATGCATATTACAGGTGGGTAGGTGGCAGATCGGGCTGCGGGCAAAATATGTACCATATTATATTATAATATTGTGTGTATCGGTGGCCCGCAGACGAATTGTGAGCGGAATTTTATACACCGTGTAAGTACTCATAAATCCACGCAATATTGTACGTTTACACGAGTGACGTATGAGTGTGTTTATGATATGGTCGTATGATATAATATTATATTCTACGTACTCTTACCAGCGCGTTTAATATTATATAGATCAAGTCACGCCGCCCGACGACGCCTTCTCCGCCGAGTTTCGACTCACGATATTATTATCATATTTCGGCAACGATATTGAGATATAATAAAGTATTATATTTTAGCCACTCGTCGGGTTTTTCGACTTATCGCGAACGGCGTACTACCACGTCATAATCTACGCATACGTCTGGGTCTCATTT